TCGTTTCTTTCCAGCTGTGAATCGAGTAGAAAAAAAAAAAAGATCTGACATTTTCAACACGGCGCGACATTTGGACTCTTAACACGTCCACCTCTAAATTTTCCATTTCACCTTTGAAAAATTCAAACTCGCACATCACGCTGGTCAACAATTATTCTCTAAAAGTTCTTCAAAGAAACTAAACCGATTAATTGTTAATTAAATCAATTGCTTGAAACAAATTAATCGAATAACCTTCAAGGAAAATCTGCGGATAGCAATGAACGATAAATAAAAGATAGTAGAATTATCTCTTCAACCTAGATAGAAATATCTCCGTACGAAATCAGTACTTCCAGATATGCTGACACTTCCAAACGAGAATTACAACTTTCACTCGTATAAATCGTTGGTTGAACCTACTCTTTCTCGAAAGCCGAAAATTTACTCCAACGGAACACCGTTATTTCCTTGCGGTTTATTTTCAGCGCTTGAACCTCAAAGTTATTAGCCAATCGACTGTGGCGATCGTTAAGTTGCGGAACGATGGATCCGAAAATCAGGCTCGAAGAATCGATAACACGCGCGCTCGAGCGACCGCAACGATTACGCTGCTTGCAGAGCATCTATTATCGAAGCGCAACAAACGACGCGATTCTAGATTGGTGTGATCCAAGACGTGATCCTGACGAATTGTCCCCGAGAGAAAAGGCAACCCCTTGAGAGGCCGCGAACAACCAGCCACCGTCGAGAGATCAACCGCCTTCTATCGGCGTTACTCTCGATCTTTCCGACGTTCAGCTTGCTTGATCGATGCAAGGTCTCGCGTAGTAAACGATCGTGGAGTCGGGCTAACGACGTCCTATCATCTATTAATTGTGCCGAAGCCTCTGGTGTTCTCCCAGTTGCGGGAGAAAAATGTTTGTTGGTCTTTAATGGAAACAGCGGAACGTCTATTAAAAAATTAAGGATCCGTGTTCTTAACACTACCAAAATTGATCAAGAAGGCAATTAATAAGACAATTTTTCGTCAGATATTTTATAAGATATAAAAACAGTGTATTTTCGGAGACTTGGTAAATTAGAAGAATAAAAGCTCGTGTACGCTCTATTGTATTACAAGAATTTTCTGTTTCTTTTGCTTTAATGTTTTTGTTGGAAATTTTGTGAATTGGTCGTCGTTAATACACGTGTACACTTTAATATTGTAAGTTACATGACGCACATGTCTTTCAATATACATATATAGTCTTTCGTATGCGTCCTTTAATTCAGAAAATTCCCGGGTGAATAATTTTTATTTTGTGACGTGAATTCCTAATGGTGCATTTACACCAACAACAAACGAATGCTCGTTCTCCTCTCGCTCCGAGTATCTCGTGTTCATTTATTAGACTACCACTCGTTTAATGAACGCAACGATATGAATACAAGCGTAAATGACGCGGATGAAATATTTAAAAACCGCGTGTAGAAAACAGAAACACGTTTCTCCGTTGTGTCGGTATAAACGCGTTTGACGTGCGTGAGACTGATGCGTAATTTCGAGCGATGGAGTTCAACTTTGCATTTCGAAAAAAAATAAAGTAACATTTAGAAAAAAAAAAATATTTATTTAGTCATTTTTAATCAATTTTATTTTCGTTGCACATTTAGATAAGAATTTTCGTTTTAAATCAAAGAGTCATTCTGAAGAAGCGTAATATAATTTTCGTATCTGTGAAAATCAATGTTACACGAGAAAAATTATTACGCCGATGTTTCTCACAATGAAGAATAAACTTTGAATAAAATAAACTATTTATATATTCCGTAATTAGAAAACTGAAAAAATTAAAATATTGTTATATTTCATTAATTATTGCACTATTTCGCTTTACTTACTTCAACATCTTACCAAAATGACACACTGATTCGACTTATTCGTCAAAACCGTTTGCTACGAGTCAGAAATTTGTTTTCTCAGTGATAAAATCGTATTTTATTTTGTTTCTTTTTCTAACGACAATGTTGAATTTCATAAGCTTGATTTTCCAAGCGAATCGAGAAATAAATTCGTAGATAAATTTTTAAAAGCGATTTTCCCGACCTTTGATTTTCCAGGTCTCTCCCTCCCTTCCTCTCTGAAAGCTCTGAAAGTGGAGGAGGAGGAGGAGGGAACACGATGTTTGATCGATTTTAATTGAATCGGTAAACGCAAAGCGGCGGCCACGGGTGTTAGAACGAATCAAGACGGAGATCGAAAATATAACGAATTCAATCCGTTTAATTTCATTCGACCGGACGTTCATTTCGCCGTGGGAATTCCGAATTTTCTACGGACAGAGGTGAAATCATCGCGCGAGTACGAGTACGAACGAGTCACCGCGAATAAAATCGCCGCGGAAATTTTTTGTCCGGAATCGCGCGTCGTGTGCTCGGACTAATTAGTGTTGTAACGATAATGGGTGGCAGGCTCGTTCGTTCGAGAGTTCTCGGGCGAGATTCTCCTTTTTCCTCCGGCGTTCTTCCCTTAAAAACACGAGACGAGCGACTAAACTTCTCTCTCTCTCTCTCTCTCTCTCTCTCTCTTTCTCTTCCCCAAAATTCTGCGCGAATAAAAACTGATCTTCTACAATTCAGACAGAATCAGCTGATCTGTTTACCGATTAAAATAAAAAAAAAAAAAGATCCATTAGAGAGTGAGTGTAATCCAATCGCGAACTGAATATCCCTCGAAATCTCTCGAATTTCGGAGGACTTCCGTCGCCGACCTACTTTCCCCCTCTTTTAATTGATTAATGGAACCGTTTGTAGTCCTTGAATTGATCAACCCGTTACGCGTAGATTCTAAGAATCGTTTCTTTCACGTCGTTCCAATTCGAAATCCGCCGCATCTTGCTGCTCGATCTTGTTAGCCGCTCGTTTAACATTTGATATCTATATTTCCGGTGTAAACAATTCGAAAGTTCCACTCATCAACAGCTTTTCGCAGCTCTTGATGCAGTATATGTACTTTTACGTTATTACGTATTTCGCATTAATCCCTGCTGCAGTGTAATTCACCAGAGCTTCGTCCCGGGATACGGAACGAACAAATAAATAATAGTTAACGATAACAGTTATCCGCGAACATTGCGGCTAGCGGATAATTAACCATTAGCCGCAATTCATTAGTCGTCACAAGCATCATCTACTTTGGCTCTCGATCCGATTGTTATCCTCCATCCCGCCTCTAGAAATTCCACAGTAGAGCCGACAACAGTACCCCTTAATCCTTCGATAGTCGATTTATATTCCTCGATTCGTATTTATACGCCACTGTTACAAATCGTGGCGTGTTCCGTACCATTAAATCGTTAGTCTCGTTGTATGTTGTTAGTTGCACCCAGATCTGGGAATGAGATCTGCGCACACAGATCGTGAACGAAGGACTGAACGAAGGACAGCTCGAGAACGAAGGATGCGCCGAGAGTAACATGGAAGCATTCGTATTCATACTTATTAGGGGTACCCACGAGTAATGTCGTTTTTTTTCTTTTTCAAACTTAATGAACGTTGCCATCTAGTGACAATAATTTAAAAAAATAATTTAAACAAAATGAAATTTTGTACGGTATCAAAAAACAACGTTACTCCTAATCTTAATATACACGACGAATCGCGTACCAGGGACAAGGAAGCGGTGGCAGTTATGCACATAGCGGAAGACACGTGATCCTATAGATCGGCTCTGCCTTGCGCAAACGTATTCACTCCATTGTCGCGCGCTATGCTCTTGCATTTACGTTATCATTTTCGTTCTCGATTTCCACGTGGGAGGGCGAGCGAACGATTTGGCTGATCGTACCAGACAAGGAAGAGGAATCAAGGATGTCATTCGCATCTCGTGTTCTCGTGTTTCTTCTGGTTTCTCCTTTTAACAGTCCGCGCTTCTAACTTCAGCAAACGCGGTGACCCGCGTGCGTCACGAGAGTTACATACGTACTCGTGTGTCCCGCGTTCGACACACGATCCCGTTGGTCTCGTTTAGTATCATACCTATATCTAACCCATTGTTGCGCAATTCAACTATTACTATCGATCAAACATGCGACATAAATCCGCTGCCGTGTCTCTCTATCGACACTTTGCTGTTTGTTTGATCGTTCGTGCCTCGCATACTTTCGCTACGTGTTTTCAATGATTGCTGAAAAATTAGCAAACAGCGAGAGGACATACGGTGACGCATAGAAGACATCGCGCGTTTCCTAAAGCTTCAGTTGACGACGACGTTCCTGAGACGTTCGCAATTTAATACTTGCGTTTATACGTATTAACATAGGAAAAGTTTCTTCTCGTCTGTTTTTCTAAATGAAACATCAAAGAATGAAAGAAAACTCTGTTAAGAGTCACTGTTCAAAAAATAAGAGAAAATTTTGTTAATTTAAAATTAAATTTAAGTTGAAACATAATTTTGTCATCATGCTTTAAAAATTATTTCTTTCGAATGTTGACTGCCAGAGCGTTCGCAAATTTATTTATTTATTTTAGTTGGAAGTAATTTATGTATATCACTATGTATACATATATATTGTATTAATATGATGTATCAATACATATATGTATATAAAAAAATATTTCTCTATGTTTATCAAATTCACGCAAATATTAAAATGAAAAATAAATATCATTTCTTTTCTCTCTGTCATATCGATCATTTATTTGATTCGTGCGTCAAAGGGGCAATGTATTTGATTCGTGCATCAATGACGTGGCAACGTTTTCGCGCCAAAAAGAGAGAGAGAAAAACCAACTTGCGGGAACCGAGTAAACACAAAGGAGAATCCACGGAGGCGACTTGGCGCGTGAAAGAGCGTCCCCTTTATTTTTAACCTGTCCCGCTGAAAGAAACAATACTTAGACGCAGGGAGCATGTGCTCGAGGCGAGCAATGCCAACAGCGTGACATCGTGTGCCGGCCTGTAAGCCGTTCAGCCGCGAACGCCTTACCACACGACTCGTTTCTGCTTTTTAAATATACCAACCGAACTCTCTCGGCTTGCCAGTATTACGTCGACGACTGACCACGCCGCACGTCCTCGCAAACTATACTCTATACCATATCGCGGCATCGAATCGTCACCGGCGGACGACGATCTGTCGCAACGTTTATCGATCGGCCGCCATTCGCGCGTTTTTCGTTCACCGGAGCTTGTTCCCACTCGTCGCGCGTTACGCTCCCATCGAATAGGAATACGTTCGCGGTTCTCTAGGTATGTAACTCTTGTTACGTCAAATAAACAAAAAAAAAGAAAACGATGTTCTTCATCGAACAGTTTCATCTTCTGACAGTCGTTTCGTTGAACAAACGACGTGCCCAGAGGTCCGAGTTTATTGTTGACCTATTGATAATCCGAATGTGACGACCGTGTCGACGTATATCTCGAGTCAACTCGCGCGTTTCCGCAACGTGGCCGGTTTGCACGGGAGGGAGGTCGGTTTCAGAGGCAGCTGCGAAAACACACTTGGCTCGGCGACTCGACGAGACGCGTTCAGCGTTTCGTAGCTCGTAAATTTGCGTGCCAGCAGCGGCTAGAACAGCGCCGTTGTCCCGCAACTTCCACAATTCGGGAGAGTGGTGGTAGTTGGCCCAGCGTGGTTCGATAAGATCGCGGGAATTTCTGGCGAACCGGGCGGGAAACGGTCGTGGCCCAGAGCTTCGAGGGATCGTCGATGACGCGCAGTCCCCGCGCAGATAAAGCTGCTTATCGACGACGGCTTCGTAAATCACTCGACTCGCGAACGAATCCATCCGTTTCGTTCCGTTACTTTCAGCCATAGATCTGCTTCCAGATGATTAATGCTCGTCAACAGAACGTTTATATCTCTCGTCTTATATCTATTAAACTCGGGAAATTTCGCGGATAATCAGAGAAGGGGAAAAAAAGGAGGAAAGAGTAGGTCGACGGTTGGATAGTTCTTTTTTTTTTTTTTTTCTCTCGAATGAAACGCGTAGTACGTACTTCTATCGGCGTAGAGAACGAAGTAAGAAGCTTAAGGAGATAGAAACTTCTCGAACGATCGACTGCGTCAAGTGTTCCCAAGAACGCCTCCCAGAATTGAGAAGTATAGCTTGGAACTTGGTTCGTTTCTTACCGTTGGGAAAACGCTGGGAAACGACGATCCCATTACCTTAATGGGAGTTGCTTGACGACGATTGAAAACGTAGCGGGCTTAACGTTTCTACGAAATTCGTCTCGTTATTTACCAGAAAGCCGGGCCGGATGTGTTTTCACCGTGGAGAACGAAGTTTCCACCATGCGCGGGCATGGCGCCTCTGAAAATGGTGTTGCTTTTCTTACTTTCGAAAATAACCAACGGCCGGAGAGACTAAAAGCGTTGCCTGATTTCCGTCGGAGACGATTGGCAACGAGAAGCAACTCGCAGAGTCAGCGATCTCGATGTTTGTACTTATGTAACTGGGAAAGTATGCTCAAACGTTCAACATGATCTGACAGCGTTGAAAAAGAATCAACGATATATGCATATTTTTTTCAGTCCAGAGAATCCTCGAATGTCCAACCACCCAGAGATTTCTATACGGGATGAAACGTGCTTCTATTTTTTGCTATTCAATGTTTGGAATTTGATTATCTATAATTAGAAAAAAGTATCACATTTTATGAACCATCGCGTTATTTCACTTTATTTATTTAGTATACATTATTATCATTCCTAAAATAGTGTAATATAAAATAGTTAGTGGGTGAGAATGAGCACACGTGATAAGTGAGCACAAATATTTAGAGCATTTTGTACAATTTTATACTCGTTACATGTGCGACACTAGGATGCACCATATTCTGCGGATCTTAATACAGCAAATGCAATAGTGACGAAGATGTGGAAGTCCTTGAGATTGAAGATGAAAGCTGCTAATTTTGTTCAGTATAATCTGGTTTAGGTGGACATATTGTAAAAGATATGTTTGCAAGGAGCTTTCTCTCAATGTTTTCCTTTTATAGATACACGTGATCAGAAAGACCATCGATGTTACTTTAAATGTATGAAGGTTAAAAGTAGGATTTTCTACAAGATAGAAACGCTGTTACAGCAACATTATAAAACAAATACATGTTTCATCAGATCAAAAATTCTTGACGTATTTGGAAATTCCTTGAGCTAAAAATTATACGTATTGTCGATTGTTTTTTAATTCTGTCTCCAACATTCAAAGGTTCCTCGAACTAAAAGTGACACATACATATTGTCGATTTTTCAAAAATCCTGCAGCAACATTACTCAACGGAAACGTGTTTCATCATCAAATCAGAAATTGAAGACGAAGCGAAAATCTTTGACACGCAGGTTAGCTGTCACGATTAAATTCTATACGTTCGAGCATGCTTCTCCACCGTATAATAAATCCACCGATAATAAATCCATTTTATTATGCGTTCGACGCACTTATAGGAAGTTACAACTTCAATCCCAGTCGCGATCCCGCCTCAACAAACTAGTCAGACGCGTCTGTTTTAAACGAATTAACAGGAACGAGTCCAGGTTTCGCCTTCTTCGCCGATCCCCTCTGATCTACACATTTGTTTCTCGTTTCACTCGTTTTCGCGCGCGTTTCCGTTCCTTTTCTACGCGGCGTGTCGTCCTTCTCCTCGCTCGCGCCCACGTATAGGCAGAATTCGACGCCGCTGGGCTGATGCAACACGCCTAATCCCGCCGAAATGTTTCTAGGGGAGAAGGACCAAGTTCGCGAAAGTGGCAGTTTGCGCTTCGGTACGAAGGCGATCGCGTCGCATCGCGTGTTTCGTCGTCCTCGGATCTCTTATCCTTCTTCCCCCTCGCCCCTCCCGAAGAAGAAGCGGCGAATCGATATCGGCAGGTCGGCTATAACAGGAGCAGCTCTGGTGCAGTGAATCGATACGAACGATCGATCGGACGCGTCGCGGGATCGGCTTTCTTTCCGTTTCGGGTGAGTAGAGGGCCTCTGTCCAGCTGCGGGCGAGACGTTCTCGAACGTTGCCGAAGTTTCCAGCGAAGTTTCTCCTCGCGAGAGCCAGCCAGGTTGAATCGATGCTGAATCTCCTCGGGAATGAGAGCCGACGCGAGGCAACATCGGTGAACTTGTAATAAAAGGACTTGGGGGAGGTGAGTGTTCGTGCTCCTCGAGAGATATTCCCTCTCGAATCTTTTCCAACGGGCCGAGTGCTAATTCTACCGAGAAAACTTTCAAACTCTTTCGCTCGGAACGTTTTGCTCTCCCCTCGGGCATCACACGCTTTTACTCTTCTTCTTCTTCTTTTTTTTGTTTTTGTTGTTGTTGTTTTTCTTTTTTTCACTTTTATAATTAAAATTCCTCGAGAAACTTCGCGCAAAGAATTATACTTTCCGAGGGAGATCTTCCTTCTGATTGAAATTCTCGACGTTCGACGAATCTTCCACTCGAGCCGCTCGTTCAATTTTCTTTCAATTCCAAAGTGGGAGAGCGTAGTTATCCGTTTCACTTAAGACGGACTCGCGCGCCAGATCGTTTTCAAACGTGCGTCATACACGCAATCCTCCGTCGGATTGTTCCTCTTCTCGGCACGAAACGAACGAACCCACGAACGAGCTCATTATACTCGCAGATTCGTTCGATTGGTAGACACGAATTCCGGGAGGAAACGCTCGGATATTAGCCATTAGCCAGCGGAGAACGCGCCGATTTGAGGCCACGCCGATTATTCCAATCGCGTGATTTTCTATCCTCGCGAGACGACGAATGCTCGCCACCCTCGATTTCGCGGTTTCGCGAATCGTCTTCGTTCCGCGTTCCTGTCGAGCGGCGTTATACTATATTTAGATCGAGGAAACGGAGAAGAGCACGAAGGCGAAGCACGAGTTTTCGACGCTGCTCTCCGTTACTCTCGATCTCGATGACGTCGCCGAAGGAAAATTTCGCGCCGCGTGCGAAATTTTGGCTCGCGTCGAGAAACTTTGCCTCGTTAAATGCCAATTCTCTTAAGAATCGCACCGGCTGAATGAAAGTTGCGCGCGCCAACATTCCCGTCTTATAGCCGCGCGCCATTCGAATTCACACGGAGAGATCGCTATTAGCGCGATATTAGCGAATTCCATTTTACGTTCATTTTACGTTGAAACTGAGAGGCGCGGAGAGAACTCTGTGCAATGAAGTTTGTCAAACGACTATAAGACGTAATATGCGCCAATGATCCACGTTCTCTGCTATTGCGTAATTCGTTAGCCTTTGAAAAACATTCTCTTACGCGCCGTGTTGTCGTATATTTTACGTCCCGGTCTCGGATTTTTCTTGGCAGTTTGGGACTTTTATCTTTAAGTGATAATGATCGACGATGACTTAACTAGGCTTCGACTATTTTTAGTAGCGAGTGAATTGCACGACCACGGAGATACGAAAATATACTCCTCGTATCCTAGTAACCTAGTAACAAACGTGCGTGTACGAAATTTTATTCGAACGCAAATGCACGTACGTTTAAAGTGAAATATATTTGGTTAACGAGACGAACAATTACTATACAAATGAAAATATTTGGTAAATGTGACATGAATGTTATTTCTGTCCGCGGAAAAGCAAAACGTCTGCACGCGGTCCTAAAATCTCGGGTGGAAAATATCGGAAGAGTGTAAAACGTCATGGCGAAATAGAGTTCCGCGGTGTAAGAGTATCGACGTGACGAACAGACGAGGTTCAAGATCGTCGCCAAGCGGATCTGCGTGCCGAGTGTAAAAATAGTCATCGACATAGCGAGTCGAGCAGGCCCTCACCTTGTCCTCGCTTGTCTACCGCTCTCCGAAGATGCGTTCAACCTCCGTCGAGGAACAGGTTTGCGAGGAAAGCAACTTCCCGCTGTTAAGATCGCGTCTTGGTTGGTCCCACGGGAGGAATCGAGCTATTCGTCCTCCTCGACAAACGCGATGAGCAGTTTGAGATCCTCGTGGATGTTTGAGCTTCTGAAGGATTTCCGCCAACGGTCGCTACTATCAACATCGTCGTTGATATAAATTATTTCCAGCGGAAGCTCGACCTCGAAGCTGGTGGCATAATCTGTTGAAAGTAATACAGTGAAAATGATAGTAATTTAGGTTAGGTAGTAATTAGAGAAGTCTCGTTCATTCGAGAAATTTTTATTATTCGATCTCGATGCCACAGCGAGGATGATTAGATGATCACCTTCTTGGGATTTTCGTTCACTTTGTTCTTCGGTATTCTACTCTACAGTAAATAGATTCAGTAATTTTGTTACGCGTTTTCGTCAGAGCTCTCGCGTTGGCAAAAACAAACGGAGAGTTCGAGATCTTCAAAGATTCCCGGGTTGGGATTTAATTCCTCGGTGATTATTGACTTCAGTCGGCAAGTGAGTAAATAAATAATTTACCTCCGCGTTTCGACAGAACTTTAGTTTCTTCTTTTATAGTAAACCTCGCTAACTGTAATCGCGAGTAAAAGAAAAAAAGGTTCGTAATTTATTTCTGCATTTCGACGCGACATTTTTCTCTTTGTCGAACCCTCCGCGATTTCTGGTTGAGATTGAATTCCCCGGTCGTCGTTAGTTTTAATCTCCGGGCGACACCCGGCTAGTTTTAGTCAAGCAAGTTCGTAATTTATTTCTGCGTCCTGACGGACCTTTTTGCCGCGAAGATTAAACGAATTCAAGATCCGGGAGGATTCCTCGGTCGAGATTCGGCTGGAAAGAAACAGAGAGCCTGCCCGCCGCTCTAATATCCGTACTTTTCGAAGCAGCTTTTTTTTCCACGAGGCTCAGGCAAGTTCGGTTCCGAGCAAAAGACGCGTCCTTCCCCCGAAACTTTCCAACGATAATCGCCTATAAAAACGAGAGGCAACGAGCATCTGACGCCATCAGAAAGTCGCTAATGCGCCGCCGTCGTTCCCAGCCTCGCCTCCTTTCTTCGCTCTCCTTTCTGTTTCTTCTCTCCTCTTCGAAACGAAAAAACCGACGACGCGTCCGACCTAACCTGCTGGCTGGCGGGCGCGCCACGGATTTGCATTATAAAAATTCTCGCTACGTTATAAAATTCAGCCGGGATCGCCGGGAACGCCGTGGCGCCTGCCGCCCTGGCTAAAACGATTCCGTGTTACGCCAAACGATTTTTCTTATCTTCCTGTTTCCCTTCCTTCGTCGAAATTTCGTGCCTCGTAATGGGAAATTTCTTCGCTTCCCCGCCTGGGGAGAAGGAGGGGGGGGGGGGAGAGAATAATTGTGCAATATTTACCTTTTTCGTTAAATCGCGCGTATCAGGAGAAGAAAGGGAATTCTCCCCGGATTCGCCGGACGGTTTTCAATTTCTTTCAGTTTTTCATTTGCATGACTTTATCTATCGTTCGTGCAGAGTTCCATTTTCACGGAGGTAATTTAAAAAGATTAAAGCTAAATGGAAGATTCGTTTGCCGGATGTTGCATGATTTTTTTACGTTCCTTGCCTCTAAATTTTTTTACAAACTCATAAAACTGTGGTGTGCTTGTCGAACACGTGAGCACGCGTGTGATATTTTGCAACACAGTTTTATCGACTCGATGATTGTTCTTTCAGGCTATAACGATTGACATTATTCGATAATATATCAGCGATTCATTTTCGTTTCAATCGAGAAAATATTCGTGAAATCTCAGCAAGGAAACACGCACGTCGCTGTACGCCTCAAACTTCAGAATTTTCCTTTCAAATATGACTCGCGTCGAGACAGATTAAGGGAGGATTGAACAAAATCTACTACCAAAGAATACTTACTCTCAAAAGAATGAAAATCTCTCTGTTATCACTATTGTGCAAATTGTTTATCGAGTCACGAGAACGGCGAATTATATACTTGATATAATAATAGTATAATAATAATAATTTAACTCTTTTTTGTATCATCTACCAGTAATTTATTCACGAAATAGCGAGTAAGTGTACAAGTGCGATAAAGTATCTACCAGTAATTTATTCACGAAATAGCTAGTATAAGTGTGATAAAGTGTCATTAAAGTGATATAGCATTGGAAATAATCACCCTGTTTAAATGTTCAAATTTAGCATGAAATTTTGCTGACAGTCTTTCTTTAATACGCGACTTCGCTTGAAGCAATGACTAACTATAATACATGGAAGTTAATGACACACAATTTCAATCTCTGGAAATATTTCCTTCACCATTTTATGAACGTAAGAAGCAAGAAATTTATGTCAATTATCCCGAATTATTCGAATGAGTGTCAACTGACATACGGATTGCCTCTATTCTATCTATCCTCAAAATTTTTTTCTTTCGAAATTTTATTATTCCTCTTACGTCGTTGTATTATATTATATCACACAACACCATACCATATGTTCATTATAATTATCAGCAACTATAAAAAAATTTGTAATTTTAGCTGTTAAATTTGAGTATGTCTTCTTATAGTCGAGTGCAAAGAGTTAATAATAAAATGCTTGTAATAATGCTTGTTACACCTGACCAAACTCAAATTCTTAAAATATTGACCAACGATTTTTAGCCCACTCAAATCCTCTGGTTTCTCTGCTCGATTCTGCACGAAATGAATTACCGCTCGATACAGGCGAGAACTCGCACCGATTCTCTTCGATACTCGTCAATCGACTCCTTGTCGAGGTTTTTCCCGAACATGTAGTGGCAGAAATCCCTTTGGTTTTCGTTTCGGCTCTTTCGAGACGTCGGTAATTAATCGTCGGAGGTTGGCAGGTCCGCGTGTCACACTGACTTAATTCGCGCTAAGTCGCGTCCCCGTGCTTCTTGCGAAGGCCCTACGTCGCTACCGAGGGAACGTTACTTAGCTCCTTAATTGGAACACGACGCAAGAAGTCCGCCTGGAGTTTCTTCTGTCCGCGTTCGAAAAGAACACGCGTCAACTTCTGCAGCCGGACCGTTTCGAGATGGTTTTTCGAGGTGGTCGCTGGACGGTTGTTTGTTGAAAAGAAAGAAAAAAAAAAAGAGAAAGAAAGAAAGAAAGGAAGGAACGACGGTGAACGCGTTTTCAACCGGCTCGCAATTGTTTGCAGCAGTTGTTTGGAGTAACAGCGGCGATATTCAAAAAGAGACTCGTGTACGAGGATACGTACTTAGCGAGAAGGTTACGAAAACATTTCTTCAGCGAGACGCT